CCCCCCCCCCCCCCCCCCCCCCCTCGCCTCTGAACGGAGTCCTGTCTCTCTTTAGCCTCCTGGGATGTGGCATGCGGGTGTGCGGAATCGCAGGTTGTGCTGCGTCGACATTTTGCAACACGATTGACGCGAGGCTATAACTCTCATCCGCAGTATGGGGGCGGGGGGGTGGGATACGGGGAAGCCAAGAGACGGAGGGAGGGGTGGAGAGATGGAGAGCGAAAACAGAAAGGGAAGAGAAGTGAGGCAGAAGTGGAAGCTGAGACCTACAAAGATTAAAAAAAAAGAGAGATGAAAGACCCCAGAATATGAGGGGGGGAGATTTAACAAGTAAAAGACAAACAGAAAATAAAGATAGAATGAGAAACTAGTGCGACCTTCATGGTAAGATGATGTCTCTGCGCAGATCTCCCCCCCACACACACACTAAGCCGCGAAGATGAACTGCCAGCCCCCCGCAGGAAGTGCTCTCGCCACTCCGGCCGGCCCTGGGGGGCCCTCCACACCCAAGAAGGGCCCCCCCAAGTTTAAGCAGAGGCAGACGCGCACATTCAAGAGCAAAGCCCCCAAGCCGGGACAGAAAGGGTGAGTCACCTCAGCAGGTTACAGTGACACCGGCTGCTCAGCCCTGCAGTACAGATATGACAGTGACACCGGCTGCGCAGCCCTGCAGTACAGATATGACAGTGACACCGGCTGCGCAGCCCTGCTGCACAGATATGAATCAGGAGGAAGCCACACACAGCTGTCAGCACATCACAGCGGCTCTTGCCTTCCCTCAGGTTTGGGGACGACATCCCTGGCATGGAGGGGCTCGGCACAGGTAACTATATATATATCTGTATATCCATTAGTAACTGTAACTATTACTGGATGTTCTCCAAAAAAAATCCCCTGGGATCCACCCATCCATCTGTCTATCGTTCTGTCTATCCATCATCCACCCATTTATCCATCTGTCCGCCTCTCCGTCCATCCATCCATCCATGCACCCATCTGTATCCATCCATCCCTCATCCATCCATCCATACACCCATCTGTATCCATCCATCCCTCATCCATCCATCCATACACCCATCTGTCTATCCATCAGTACATCAACTTGTCCATCCATCCATCCATCCATCCATCCATCCAGGTTTGAACTCCTTTGTTTTGTGTAACGCTGCTCCCCCACACTGTCACACAGCCCTGGAGGTCCTGCCCATACAGGCACTTAGTCTGGCCAGCAGGGGGCGTCGGTGGCCGCGCTCTGACTTTCTCACTGCCCCCCCCCAGACATCACCGTCGTCTGCCCCTGGGAGGCCTTCGGCGACATGGAGCTCAGCGACCTCGCCAAATACGGCATCATCTGAGCACCGCGGCCCCTCCCTCACCATCTGCTCCGCTACGCCCCCTAGAGCCAGGCCCGGCTCCCGACCTCCAGCTCTCCTCCCTCCAGCCGTTACGCTCCCATGTGTGTGTGTGTCCGGGTGTTTCCTGCAGCGTGACCCTTCCATCTCCCGGCAACAGCGGCGCAGTAACCTTCATATATAGCGCCCCAAACCTTGTGCTTGGCTTATAGCAGTCGAGTATCAGTAAAGCTTGTACTCACTCCTGCATTGGTACTATCTGCCGCACGGTCTTTGCCCTCATCACAGCCTGGTTTTTCTGCGACTGTGAATGTTAAGCGATATTTTTAAACACTGGAATGTACTTGTGAAATGACTGTACTTGTAAATAAGGTGCAACACCTACTGAGTAGTAATGAGGCAAACGGTACAATTATAAATAAAATTACCATGTAAAAACACAGCATAATGGCCCTCGCCCCCCCTTCCCCCCTCCCGATCAACTCTGTAATATAAAGCTTTTGCTCATATACTTTTTATAGTGACGTCTGCTTAGCATGGATTACCATTAGCACATGTTCAATAAAATTCAATTTTAAGTTCTTCATCTTTCGAGTCTTTGGAAGGGTGTCCAAATCTTGCATTTGAACAAAAATCTTTGCTTTCCAAACATGTCATCAGTAGACGTTCTCTAGCTTTAGGGCCTAATTTCATTTTTAAACATTAGTTACACGACAGTAATGTTCACTGATAGAATAATAATTCTAATTCTTATTTTTATATACTGTATATACATTTCCAAAACACAGTTTTTAAATTATTCAATATCTGAAATTTCAATTTATTAAAAAAAAAAAAACTCAAAAGTTGATCTGGTAATATGTGCAGTGGTTAGCACAGTAGTGCAGTGGTTAGCACAGTAGTGCAGTGGTTAGCACTGTTGCGTCACACCTCTGGGACCAGGTGCAGTTTGAATGCTCACCCTGTCGCTGTCATGGGGTTTCCTCTGGGTCCTCCCCCCTCAGCCAAAAAACATGTTATAGTGAGCTGGAGTTGCTTAAAGTTGTTGGTGCCCCTTTCTACTCCTGACCTTTGACCCCTTGCTTCTGGAACAGGCTCATGACCCAGCACAGTAGGCAGGGAAAATAAATGGGTCTAAATATCAGATACAGTAATTCCAGCTCAGTCATAATCCAGTGAACTGCTTTAATGTTAAACGCCACAACATTAGCTGGCAAAGGAAGAAGCTACCAAGGACTTATGATAATTTGCATGCATTTTCCCCCCTCCCTGTCTAACAGAGTTAAACAAATGACCCAGTTATCAGCTCCTCCACGCACACACAGACACACAGACACACACACACACACGGCCTGCACAGGCATGACTGGGCGTCAGGCCCGGCTGACGTGCACCGAACGTTGGCCATTCTCGCCAGATGTGCTGCCACATGCCTGCGTTCTCGGCAGCCTGTGATCGGTCGCCGCCAGAGACAGCGGCCAAAACGCTGACGAGCAGAAACACAGCTCCCAAATATTCGCATTCCGCCGGTCAGGGGGACGGGCGGAGCAGGCCGGATCGCCCCCACGGGCCGAAGAGAGCGGACCCCGATAGGGTGACTGCGGGGAGCCCCATGAAAGACAGTAGTGTGCTACTGGCGGGGGGCGCCTGTCCCAACACGCTAGAACTGCTCGGGTTGGATTGGTGTCCGTACAGGTTTCACGGCCCCTGGCTGAAACACGCCTTCTTTAAAGGCAGAGATTGGAGGGGGGGCCTGTTACTCCCCCTCTTACCTGTCAATGTAAATCAGGGATTTAAACAAACAATCCCGTCTCTGGTGTCAAAGCCTCACCCACCCTCAGTTCTTCCTCCTCTCTCTCGCTACACGACTCGGCGCAAAGACATGGGGATACATGCTGATCAGAACTGACCTGAAGTCCAACAGTCTCTACCGACGACCAATAACGGCAGCAAATGGCTGCAACAAGCAGGATAAAAGAGGAACAGTAACTCTGGATCGAAGGTAAGCTTGTTTCCTCCTTTAAATACTCCTGTTAATACTTAGAAGTATCTAAAAAAAAGTATTACACAAGTGAGTAACACTGGCAAGTCAGTAATGGAGAGACGGACAACACCCACTGAAGAGAAATTGGTATTTCTTGGATAAATAATTTGCCTCAGGTCTGCTAAATGTCTATAATTGAGAAAATTGTTTCTGGGTAATTAATTTCAAATGAACAAAATCAGAATTTACTCTGATTAAACATCAAAGGTTACTGGGCACAATGAGGAGCGAATGTTTCAGCATCACGGTGTGAAGTGTGAGTAACTGCTCTTTAAACTCACGCAGAATAAATGTTGTGGCACGTTTGTGGCAGAGCACAATGAGAATCCGTATGAAAAGATAACATTATAAATGTCAGCCTTTTAATCTCTGATGCACAGACAGCAGCGCTATTGTGAACTGAAGGAAATGGAATCCGCTTATCGAGCGTGTGCATCTCTCTCAAATTCAGCAGTGCTCTCTAAATCACCACAGCCATTAACCGCCCACACATTCACGCCACCATTGCGGAGAGATAACTTTAGGTAGATCTCTGTCAGAAGCTGGTTGGGTTGAGTTCAGTCCCGTGCTTGGTTTGTGGGTAAATACAAGCTGGGTCATTATCACAAACTCATTACCGTAACATCAATTTTCTCTAATTCTTAAAATTATTTTGACTCAAATTATGCTACTTCATTGTCTAAACTGCCAATTTTACCTCTAGAGTAGTTAATCAGTTTTATTCTATTACCATTTATTTAGGCAATAAATAAGGTTTATAGTTAAAAATATAGTTTCAAATCCAGGGCAATGGTTATGGAGATGAGAAAAAACAGTTGAGCAAAAAAATATGCATCATTAATAGTTGATTGTTTATTGTGGGTTACATGTATACAATGAAGATGAAAGATTTAAAAATATTTACCTAGTTTTGAGTTATATCTGAACTTAAAACTGTTACAGTAATCAGATTTCTGGCTACCTATATGGGGAAAAGGGATTTTAAAAATTCTGTAAATCAGTGCAACAATAACAATTTTAATATACCTACATATACCAAACACTTTGCTAAGGCTCCATCAATTTCTCTACACAGAAAACACTGTAGTCCATTGTAACTTTTTTTTTTTTAACTTGTTGGGGGAAATGACTCAGGTGGAGGTCAGGCAACATGTTGGGGCAGAACTGAAGGAACAAAAGTCCCAGCATCTAAACACCAGTTACATGCCTACAAAGGAATCCATCCCTCTGCTTTAAGCTCCAGTCCTGTTCAGTCTGAATTGCTGGAACTTTCTATCATGTGCCCCACACACAACATAACCAACCCTCTGACAATCTGAGCTACAGGATTCCTTTTCAACTATACACAGTTCATGTTGATAGATCAATTCTCTAATTTAGGCGCTTTGTCTACCTTTCATTCTGGCTTCTCCCCAGTATTTCTCAACATGGTCCTCATCATGCCCCCCCCCCCCCCAAACGCTACACATTTCTGCTGCCTCCCAGGTACCGGTAGGTTTAGGGTTAGAAAAAGCATGGACCATCTGCGGGAGGGGGATCCTTAGTGATACCATTACTAACACTTCAGTATCACACTGTCACTTACAATATCAATCCAGGACACTGTGCAGTAACGTTCTCCTTCATTCCTTTTAAACTTTCAGACAGAGCGGCATTTTCCATGGGGAAGAAGCGAGCACAAGCCCACGAGCCAACGACTTGTCATCAGGCACCGTGAATGAGAGCCTAACAGAAACTCTTCAATAAGACAGATCACTCCTCCGCCACCCCCGGAGCCCCCTCCAGCAGAGACCAAACACCGCTAACGTCCAATAACAGCCTGACCGCTCTAGGCACAGACGGCAAGACTCGCCTCCCACTGCAATGAACTCCAATCAGTCCAATACCACCTCTGCCCCCAAACCGAACGGATACACGTCCACTCACCAAATGGCGTCTGGGTGTGGCTCCAGCCTCGACCCGAGCTTCTCCTTCCTCTGTGACACGGAGGCTGCCTGGGGAATCGTGGTGGAGACTTTGGCAGCCCTGGGCCTGCTCGTCACCTTGGCTCTGCTTTTCGCTACCATCGCCTGGACCACGTGGACGTCCCTACGACATCGCCCCCTAATGGCCACGGCGGGGACTGCGACATCCTTGCTGCTGTTCTTGGTGGGGACGGCGGGAATGTTCAGCCTGACCTTCGCCTTTGTGGTCCGGCTCGACCCGGCCACGTGTCCGACCCGGGTCTTCCTCTTCGGCGTGCTCTCGGCGCTCTGCTTCTCGGCGCTGGTGTCGCGCAGTCTGGCCTTGCGGGGCCTGGTGCGGGGCTGGGCCGAGGCGGGCCTCACGCTGGCCCTCAGCTCCGTGCAGGCCGTCGTGGCTGCGGAGTGGCTGCTCACTGTGCTCGTCCGTGACCAGCAGCCGTGCCGCTACTCCCAGGCCGAGTTCGTCGTGCTCCTCATCTATGTGCTGTGCCTCGTCTCCGCGGCTCTGTGCTGCTCCGTATCCTGCCTCTGCCTCTTCGGGTGCCCCAGGAAGGAAGCCCGTAACCGGGCCGGGGCCCAGGCGCTGCTGCTCTGCCTCACCGTCACACTCTCCGTGGCCGTCTGGGTGGTGTGGATCACACTGCTGACGTGGGGAAACTGGGAGATGGGCCGCAGGCCGCTTTGGGACGACCCGGTCCTGAGCGTGGCGCTGGTGTCCAACGCCTGGGTGCTGCTTCTCGGACACGGGCTGGCCCAGGCGGCCATTCTGCGGCAGACGCTACGGAGCGGGGAGGAGACCCCGCTGGACTTCACGGGCTGGACTAGCCCCAGTGGCGAGATGGCCGGGCTGCAAGGGGTCAAAAAGACGGGGCGGGAGAACCGGAGCTTCGAAAGCGACAACCAGGACTGGAGAGGTGAGAATCCCTCAGGCACTGTAGAGGACCTGCTGTATTTCCTTAACAGTGCATATCCAAAGTAAAAAGCAGGAGCCAATCTACACACTCCGTAACACTGCCAACCAAATGAGACACATCAGCGGCAGATAACAGGGGCTGCTGACAGTCTGGCTGTGTGACGGTGACGCAGCACCCTCGCAGGTGAATAGAGACCAGAGCTGACAGGTGGATGCTGATGAATTTATTTTGCAGGTAAACGGAACAACGCGGCAATACGCTCGCCGTACGAATCAGGATTCTCCATGTCGGTGAGTTCAGCGTAATTACACCCATAAACACAAAACAGACAGGCTCTATACAAGATCTTACCATGCATAACGGCGCCACTCACTAACACACACAATATGTATACATTTCTTTCTCAGCTATAAGGTTAAGTTTTTTTTGTATTCACCCTTTGTTGAAATTGCTCGCGAGTGGGCGATCTTATATTCCACCCCTGCATGCACACTATCACACTATTAGGACTGTAATAATGTAATTACTGACACATGTACGAACGCTCCTTCCACAACGCGAACCACATCGCTTTAATGTCACGGGTGCTGTGTTATAGGACATAGACCCTGGGAAAGACTACAGCATCCCACGACCTCAGACCACCAACACCGATGTGCCCTACGAGGATTACTACGGTCGCAGGCTGTCCAGCTAGAGACCAACATCGTTTGAACCTTCACAGATCCTTTAGACCTAATCACGTTTGTTTACATCCCAGCCTGGTTCGCAGGTTGTTCTATGTACAACCTTTATTCTCTAAAGCTATGACTTCCTGTAAATTATTAATTTAAATCACTAAAACACTCTTTTTAACTATCCGCGCAATTATTTCATTAATGGTACCTGAACAGCGCACATTTTGACATAGTGACAAGGTAAAATTCTAACCATTACCTGAAACTCATTAGCATCAAGTTGATTATTACTTGTCATTTATATAAACTACTTAAAACGGAAAAAAGCTGAAATACCAAAAGTACTTCAAAAGTAGGCTACCTGCAGTTACGGGGTTGCGACATAGCCGAGTAAAGCCAATTTCGAAGTGTATTTTAAGCTATTTTTTATTTTTATTTTCTAAAATATAGGTGCAGATGTATTAAAATACACAGATTTAACGAAATGCCATCCTGTGTTAAACCATTTTGTTGACTGCCTCTTCCACAATACTAGCAGCCTGTATTATACGCTTCTCTTATTAAACGTTTGTTTCGTTCTTAATTTCGATGTTATGATTCATAATACAGACAAGGAATAATCAGGAAGTCATAAAAAGCAGAAGATTCACTGCAGTTTCTTCCTCCGTTTTTAGAAACATTTTTACTAGGGTAGCATTTTTTGTTTTCAACGGAACCGCAGCCGCCAAGATCAAGCCGGTGCTGCAACAGGGAACAAAGAAGAGCTATACCCGAGCCCACCACACGGGGGCATCTTCAGCTTGTGTGCCACTGGACGAGCCAACTTACCGGTCCTTAGGGGTCACTACAAGTCACAAAAAGGTAACTTCTCTGTTGGATCCATATTCCCCAGAGACATTCGTCCTTCCACAGCAGGAACCAGTTCTTTGTAAGGCGAAGCCAAACATACATTTGGGAAGGACATGCTACTGTCAAAAGTGTGGCTTAAGCGAGAAGGGTTCTTTGACTTTCTTGAGGGCTTTCTGTTTGACACAACCGGGCATTATGGATATTTAAAGAAATAATAATAATGTGGTTTGGAGGAGGTACATGAACTGGTTTTTGCGGTCACAGCACCGAGTCAGTTAGCAGAAGGGTCCCTTGAGCAGTTGAAGTTAAGGAGCTTTGCTCAGGGAGCTCGCGGGGGTGCAATAACTCTACTGGCCACAGGTTTCACACCGATAGGATAATACACTAATGGTACGATGCGAGCATTAACGCAGTTTTCTTTTTAACTCGAACCGGAGACCTTCTCGCTAAGCATACCTTTTCCATCATCTGAGAAAATGCACCCCCCCCCCTGTGGCAAGTCTTATGTATAGGGAGCGTTAAATGTTACCTCCCTGCAGCGGAAATGTAATTCCGAATAAATTTAAACAATGTCATTTAAGCTATGGGGTGACGAGGTAAAAAGGGAACAGAGGCAAAAGTAAAAACCAAACAAACTGTTTATATATATACACATTCAATAAACACAGAAAACAAAGCATACATGGCGAATGGGAATAAGGAGAATAATAATTATTATAATAAAAATACACTGTCAGTTTCATTGCAAATCCATGGGACAGGCCGGAGCAATGACAAACTGTTCAACAAAAGTACGTGAGTGTTACCGGGGTCATCGCAGACCCCTAAACGCCCGGCCAAACAGGACGGACCCCCGCAGGTCTGGGTTGCTCTGGATGGGGGTGGTAGTACCGCCCCTTGAGCGCTTCCGCACAATATCATCCCTAATCGGTGCGATCCGAACTGTCCGGGGGGGACGGGGACGGACGGGTGCTGTGCACTTATCCGCTGTCACACACGGCCAGGTGCTTGGATCCGGTTTCAGCGCTGGATATTTGGTGTCCAGATGATATTTAACACTGACACACTATTCAAAGGCTTAACAGGCACGCCCCCCTCCCCCGCATCACATTAAAAATGAAACTGCAGCTCTCGAAATTACTTTAACACAAGGTAATATTTAAACCGCCTTCATAATTTCGTATTAACGAAAAAGGAAAAGCGTTGCGGTAAAATTACACAAAATCGTCATGACCACATGTAAAAATGACAGCTGATAACCGCCGACTGATCTTCATTTATGACATATCCATCCGGTAGGGGGATGGAGCTGCTGGAGGAGCCGGAGGAAGACGCTCCATCACGCCGCCGCCCGCAAGCGGCTCTCAGCCCGGCGCGCAGTATCAGGCCCCTATGAATACCTATAAAAAAAACACCACCGCGCAAAAACTCCGCACTAGTGTTCATCCTTGTTCAGTCATGTGTCTTAACACGCACCTGTTAAAACCTCCCACTCCACCAGTTAAAAAAAGACGAACTTATATTCAACTCGAAAAAATAAAACGTGTCTCCAAGCGACTCCTTGAAATATGGCTCAGTCCCAACATCGTTTCACAAAACACCATCTCCCCTGAAGAGGCCGCTAAATCTATTTAAAACCCCCACATACCTACGTAAATATATTAAACTGTGAAAGGACTTACAACAATCGCTTCCGTTCCAATGCCAACATTTTTTACTTACGAATTACCGCCCATCCATTCCCTGCTGTCTTTCCGTCACAATCTCATGCCATATATAACCATTTCCTAGTCAAACATACATACATGCACCAACTTCAAGTCGGAACACATTTTCTTCCGTTTTCAAAAATCAAGCAACTTGCATTCTAGTGTTTAAAACCGTTTAATCATCGCGTCGTAAAACGCATTGCGCTGCAGGTATAAATAAATGACCGCTAGAAGTTGTCACGGTCGCTAAGAACCCAACCGTTCGGTATCGGAAAAGCATGGTTTTTAAAAACTGGTATCTGAATTACCCATTTCAGTACATAATACATAAAACGGGCGGATCTCACTTTTTTCTTAAAAAAAAAAAAAAAAAGGATCATTTTAAGCTATACGTAAATAGAACAGCTAAAAGAACAGCAATCATATGAAATACGACCAAAATGTGCTTCCAGAGGGAATCTTTGGAATCAAAGGAATTAAAAGATACCATATTCTGAATATATGAGGTTATACAGAACAGCACTATGACAAAAGCTATTTATACATGTCTGTCTATGGCTGCCTTTCCCACAGCACTGTAAGCAGAATGCAGTGACCTCCATACATATCGCACTGCATCATCCAGAAAGCAGAAGGTGATCTTAAACTTTATGTATGGGACCTGCTCCACTGCTGAGAGAAGGGACACTGGCTTAGTGTCACTCAGTAACATACTCAAACACCAGCCCACCCCCCACCCCCCAAAAAACCCTGAGTTTATTATCCATAATGACTTCAAGCCAGTTCTGACTACCTGTGGTTATCTTCAATGCGCTCATTCAGTCACCCAAAGCCAGCCGGAGCTGGGGGGGCCATACTACTGATGACAGCACAATCTCCCCCCCCCCCCATTTTCAACCCCTTCTCTCCTTTCCTAAGGAGCCTAGTCAAGAAATAAAATCAAACAGCATGTGTGTAAAAATGTAGGTCAGATGCTTCTGTGGATGCAATTAAATGGTAGTTAACAGTAAATACTCAACCAGCAATGATAAACGATAATCATGATCAGAGACCATTAACTCTATAGTACAATAATAATAATAATCATAATAATCAATTCTAGGCTGTCAAGCAATCCCATTTACACATTTGTACATTATTATTAGTACTGTAGTTCTGTTTTTTGTGACATATTCCAGAGACAAAAAACACATTACTGAGGTAATGAGGATTTAAAACAAAAAAAATTAACACGAGGAGCAGGACCTTTGACACACCCGGCTGGTAGTGAAACGCAGGCAGAGCTGATCTCTCCTCCGCTCCCTGCAGTCAGCGCAGACCCGGAGAGTCTTAGAGTTACTCCTTAAAGAAACGGCAGTGGACGGACGGACAGGGACACACACACACACACACACACACACACACACACACACACACACTAGTGTTGCATCAGTGGTGATGTCATTTTATGTCTGGGGGCTGGATATCTCTCTCTCTCTCTCTCTCTCTCTCTCTCTCTCTCTCCCCCCCCGCCTCCCTCTCTCTCATCGTCCTCCTTCCACGTTGCAGTTTGTTTCCACTTGGGTCCCGGGTGTCGCGACCTCAACATCATGGATCTTAACACTTTGTAGTGAGCTTGAAGCTTCCACCATCCCTCTGTGGTCCACAGTTAAAAAGAAAAAACAAAAAATTAGTTTCTCCACGCCTTTGTGTGTCTGTGGGATGGGGGCCTGTTTTTCTCTGTACTGTCGGTGGGTGTGATTCTTCGGCCGGGTCAGAGGGTTAGGGTGAAACCGCAGCTGTCTGCTCCGGGGGCGATGTTAGGCCGCCGCACGCCTCTCATTCAGCCCCACGCTGTTCCACGCGGACGGGCTGCTCCTCCTCTGTTCAGCTGTGGTGACGGCTTTGCCGTTTAAATCGCCGTTGCCTTTGAATGCATTTGGGGCCGAGCTCTCATTGGCTGCCGTGAAGCCAAGGTGACAGGGTGTCAGCTGACTGATGGGCGGTCATCGTTACCATGTCTGTGGAACGCAGGTTTCCAAATGAAGTGTATGAAGTCAGGGTCGGGGAGTGGGCGAGGGAGGGGGGCGAGAGGGGTCCGTGGAAATGGAAGCCGTTTAGTATGGCGCAAATCTGCTGTATCCACCCCGGTACAGACTGGCCTGTGTGAGGAGACAGAGAGGTTAAGATCTCAGCACACAGCCACCAAACAAACAAGATCTGCAGAGCCACAAACGGCCATAACAGATACATGATAAAAGGTGCTTCTCTAAATTCCCTGCAGAGCCACAAACGGCCATAACAGATAAATGGTAAAAGGTGCTTCTCTAAATTCCCTGCAGAGCCACAAACGGCCATAACAGATACATGATAAAAGGTGCTTCTCTAAATTCCCTGCAGAGCCACAAACGGCCATAACAGATAAATGATAAAAGGTGCTTCTCTAAATTCCCTGCAGAGCCACAAACGGCCATAACAGATACATGATAAAAGGTGCTTCTCTAAATTCCCACCACCACCCCAAACCAGATTCTGCTAAACATTCTACATTTTATACATTTAGCAGATGCTCTGATCCAAAGTGATGAACAGGTGAGGCAAATAGCACAATGCAAACATATAGTACCAGACAAAAGTTCAGACACACCGTCCCACAGAGAGGTTTATATGAACTATTCTCTACATTTTAGAATAATTACAAAGACATAAAAACTAGTCTCAGCTCTGGGGGTTGGAACTCAGAAGGATGCTGGTTCAAATCCCTGGGTCAGAAGAGTGATCCCACCACTGGGCCCTTGAACAAGACCTTTAACCCCAGTTGCTCCAGGGACTGGCTGCCTCTACTGTCCCCTCTACTCCAGCTTCATGAGGTGGCCTCCTGGGATGCTTTTCCAGCTGTCTGAAGGACGTCCCACATACATGCTCAGCACCCATTGGCCTCTGTTCCTTCACTCTCTGGTCAAACTCCTCCTAAACCATCTCTACTGTGTCAGGTGGCCAGGTCATGTGATGCGATACCATCACTCTCCAATGTACGCTTTTATTTTGGCTTGGCGTGTCCAAACTTTTGACTGGCACTGAACGTGCTGTCAAGGAGTCGACTTGGCGCAAGTGCAGCAAGGCTGAGCTTCTAGGGAACGGCAGTTACAAGTAGAGTACTGGAGCAGGAGCAACAAGAACTTCTAACGAAGCAAAACGGACCGGGTGACGGCCTCACCATGGCTCCCACGCCGTAGGCGGCAGCGGCGGCTGGGGCCAGGGCATGGTACGGGTCTGCAGCGTACACCCGGCCGTAGCTGCGGGACAGAAGCAGACAGGTCAGCGTGGGCATGGCGTGACAGACGCCGGAGAGGGGCATCACGGCGGAGGTGCCCCACCCACCTGTCACTGTAGGCAGCCGCGGCAGCTGCAGCGGCCGTCGCCCCAGTTACAGCAGCCGGCTGCGCGTAGCGATATGCGGCGTACCCTCCCTGTGGGGGGGGGGGGGCGACAGGGGTAACCATTAAGTGCGGAGGTGTGGAGTGGGAGGGGCTAAAGACACTGCCAGAGAGGAAGGGAATTTATATGCAGACCCTGACCAATCAGATCTCAGGATTCACGTCGGAAACCAGGAAGAGAATAAAAGGGTAAAGGAGGGACTCTGGGAGCTGGGCTACGTGGAGACAGGAAGATGGAAGTGGAGAAATGACAGTAGGGTGGGACACATACAACACCAACTCTGCACTGCGTGTGTGGAAAAGGCATTTATTCTAACTATGGACTAACATCAACTAACATCAACCAACAGCCACCACCCAGCACCAACAGCCACCACCCAGCACCAACAGCCACCACCCAGCACCAACAGCCACCACCCAGCACCAACAGCCACCACGCAACACCAACAGCCACCACGCAACACCAACAGCCACCACGCAACACCAACAGCCACCACCCAACACCAACAGCCACCACGCAACACCAACAGCCACCACCCAACACCAACAGCCACCACCCAACACCAACAGCCACCACCCTGCACCAACAGCCACCAGCCACAGCATCATCTCCCATGGCTCTGATCGCCCTGCTGTAGAGCTGTGCGATACGGCCTAAAAATAAAATCTCAGATTTTTTTCCACAATAAATCCGATTTTCGATTCTAATCGATTTTCCCCTCCCCTACTCAAAATCTAATTTCAGATGACAAATAAATGGTTCAAAACAAGTTTTAACTTTAACTCTAAAGTAAAAAAACAAAACAAAATAAAGTGCAATCTGACAAGCCAAAAAAGATGCTTGTGAGATGGCAGACCACGCCATTGTAAACACTTTTAGAAACTTGTAAAAAGTGTTAGCATGTTAATGAATCCCGGCTTTTCCACAGTATGTATGGGCACCATGTCTTTTACAGTATACATCGCGGCAGCGTTTGTTATCGCCTCCCACCGTGCCCCATTCTTATCATACGGCACACAGTTTGAAAACGTGTCAGGGACAGCTGCTTGCTTAACTTTCGATGTCGTGCTGGTGCTGCGGCTATTTTCATTTCGCTGGGAGCTGCACTTCTCCCACTCCGCTGTGTGCCTCTGCTTTAGGTGCTGGAATAAATTTGTCGTGCTGCTTCCTTTGGTTGCAACAGTTTTTAAACAGACTTTGCAACGAGGACTTGTTCGGTCTGTGTCCGACGGCGCAAAAACGAACCACTGCCATGTTGTTTGTGAATCTGCTACAGTGTTTGGGTGCGCCGCACTAATGTACCCGTGAAGAACGGTGCGTCGCATTAGTTCCACTTTTGGCGCTCGCGTGTAAAATAAGTATAAGATATTCATGAAAACACATCGTCCTGAACTGTTAATTCGAATTAATCAATAAAATCGATTTATCGCCCACCTCTAGCCTGTTGCCACTAACAGCTTTTACACTCGAAACCAGGCCTTTCACTCGTTTGTGTCTCTGTCACTGTCAGTCACCCAGCGGATCTGATCCGCCAGTCTGGCGCCAGGGCTGTTTACGGCCCGGCGTCGGTTCAGCCGGACCTGCCTCAGCACCCCAGCTTCCCGTTCCTCAGCTGAACACAAAGATCTTAATGAGTTAGTAACAAACAGAAAATGCTGCAGTAATTAAGTATCAGTTAGTATCGAAAATTGCCCTAACAACAACGGGGGGGGGGGGGGGGAGAACCTTCCACCCTACCTGGAGTCCTGAAACACTATTCTACAGAAGGAACAGAAATAGGCATCATAAACCTGAACACACACACACACGCGCACACACACACACACGCACACAGATAGGCATCCTGACTGAACCAGCCTTGCCGAGTTGCCCAGGTACCAACCCTCCCAACGCCTGTCCTTGTCAGAAACAACATTCACAACAACAGAAAGCTACTGTCGATTAATCACAGAGACAGTGTTCATGCGCAGAACTCGTCTCTCTCTCTCAAAGCGGCATTTCACTGAGAATCCGCTCTCCCGGGCATCCCGTGCTCGACGGCATTCGCAAGCAGACGGGGCTACGTGCTGCGCTTAGCCACACCCCTGCAGGAGCCGCTCTCCGAATCACAGGCAGCGAGGGTGTAGGAAGGGATGGGGGAGAGGGAGGGAGAGAGAGAGAGAGAGAGAGAGAGAGAGAGAGAGAGAGAAAGCCAGCAGAGGAGGGTTACTTACGTATATGTCTGCAGCGCCATAAAACCCATCTTGATACACCACACTAAGATGGAGGAGAGCGAAGGACAGAGAAGGGGGGGGTGTTTATTTCACATACATGCAGCAGGCAGCGTAAATACTTCCAACTTCTATTTCATTGGTTCAAACCCAACCCTAGCCCCCCTGTACCCTGGGGGCGGCACTCCTAGCAGAAGGTGCAGATACCATGACCTCAGACCCCCCCGGGAAAACTACACAGCACATGCATGATCTACAGAGACCATGCAAACTGACAGCCTGCGGTTGCAGAAAACAGTAACACACACACACACACACACACACACGTGTAAAACGGCGTGGGGACGTGGCTTTACCCGGGGTAGGTCGGTATGGCAGGCTGGGGGACGGCGGCCCGCACGGCGCTGTAGACGGGACGGCCCCGCCCTCGCAGGTGTGCCCCCCGGAAGGCCGCCGCCGCCGTAGACGCCGCCGCCGCTGCCGCTGCAGGGTAAGGGAAGCCAGGAACTGATGGACGAGAGGATGGGGGAACTGCGGTCAGGTGGGTGCAGTGCGGAATGCGGCCTATAGAGGGCGTCACAGCAAAGCCTCACCTGCGTAGAGCTCTGGCCCATAAACAGCACCCACCATGGGGCTCAACTTCCATCCTGCGGCTGGACCAACAGACGAAAGAAAGAAAAAAAAGGCGTCAGAAAAGAAGAGCGGCGGCATGTAAAGAACATTCCGGAAAAACGTGTCGAATAGCTCCGTACCATAAGGCAAGGAGGTGAGCGCCTCTCCGTTAGGGTACGGGCTGACCATCTTCTTGTTGGTCATCACCCTGGCTGTGGCGTTGTTCACCTGGGAGAGACGAGGCGGGGCGGGGGGAGGGGATGAAAAAGAGACACCGAACAGGGTGTCGGCGCCCCCCGCAGGAGGCGGACAGACGGACACAGAGACGGACACAGAGACGGACACAGCACATGCAACCTCTGGCCACCAGAGAAGCCGAAACCAGTCACAGAAACACAAGAAAACAAAGCCTAAGAACGCTGTTATCATATCATCATTATTATTATTAAAGACTCATGCAGTCGACGTCTATGGCTCTGAGTAACTCTGCCTAAAATAACTGGACTGAGTGTGTGGGTCCATGTGCAAAAATGCACAGGCAGACAGAGAAACAGAGTCCCGTCTGTTTGTCTGTCTACACAACCCCCCCCCCCCCAACCCTGCAGACTACACTGAGCACGGCTGTTTGCTGCTTACTCTCCCACTGCTCTGTGTTGGGGGGGGGGGCAATTAGCTGGTATGAAGTGGTGTGCAAGTAATGTGACATGACTTTGGGTGTGTGTGTGTGTGTTCTCATGTGCCAAGCAGTAATAGGTGAAGATGACCAGCTTTTACAGGGAGTGGGGGGGGAGGGGGGGCATGCAGCAGGAGAGGAGGCTGGGGAACAGACAGAAAGCTACAATCTGCAGTCCAATAACTGCCGGGGGGGTGGGGGGGCACAGGGTGCAGTGTCTGAAAGCCTTTTAAAATATTTATATAGAAATTCATGTCTATGAGCCTATGACTGAGACACAGGGTCACTGCTGTTGTACCTTTGATAAACTGCTACGGGAAAAAAAAGGGCGATTCTCTGGATCTGCATGTGGGCTCCGACACGCCCGAAACGTGACAGGCGGCCGTTACAGGACAGCGCTGCCACAGCTGAGCAGACGGATCCCACCCCAGGGAGCCCGAAGGGCCGCCATCACGGTAACCTCCACTCAACTGGAAAGTTCACGTCCTTATGGGGAGAAGACGGCGACCCCGCTGGCCAGAACCACCCACAAAGAGCGGCTATTAATCATAAGGATATTCCGGTTCTTACTATGAGCATTTTCATATTGTATTTTGTCATTTTCTTATCCACTGAACATTGAAATGAAAACGTGTTACTTATGTTACCATAGTAACTAAACGAGTAAACTATGTTCGTCACAGCTGCTGTCCTTTGTCTAATCCTGGCACCTAGCAGGTCTGTCAGACTGCTGAATTTACACAGATTCTCTCAAATAATCTCATTAATTTTTATATTTTTGTAAACACAGACGAGAACGTTATTAATTCCTAACAGAATTGCTGAGTAACTGCTAAATAAGCTGAAATGTACAGTTTACTACGTATGACTCAATTAGTACGACAGTTCAGGGTTACGTTTCAGGTCTGTCAGCAGCTCGTCCGCTAATCTCATGAGGCCAAAACCCTGGAGCAGGCCGATCTCTTCCAGAAGCTTATGTTTGTGGCATAAACACGTTCATCAGGTCACACGGGGATAACGCCCGTTCAAAAGGGAGGTGGACTCAACTGATGCTTGGTAACTCGCATAAAATATCGATTTGCTGGCACTGAAAATGATGGAGTTCTCCAGTGTGCATGGAGGTGCCGATTGAGATTCATTTTTTCCCTGATTTGCAGTACATGCAGCTTCCCTAATGTATCAGTCATACAAATATCTTTGTGTTAGGAACAAGGACTTTTAAAAGTATGTGCTAGAGTAAATCTTGGCACAAACAGGCATGCAAATTAGATAAGAGGGAGAGAAATGACAAAAAAGCTAGATAATTCAGAAGACATTTCAGCATGGGTTAAAACGAATAACAAAAAAAACCCCTTTTCAGTCCATTATGCTCAACCACGACTCACAAAAATTTTACACAATCAATAAAAACAGCAAAATCAAACATTCTGAAATTACTTCAAAAACGCGTGTACACAGCAGCAGGGTGAGAGAGGGGTGCAAAAATTTGGTAAATAAAAATTACACACAGCCAAAAATGGGCGCATCACATGACCAAGTTTTTAAAAAAAAAAAAAGTTTAAAAATCCAGCCAATCAGCAAGCATCGGATGCAGCGTATAGACCAATCAAAACAATCGCAGCACTCTCATATCAAATACACATACAGAGAGACGGCAAGAGAGAACAGACAGGGAAGGGGGGTTAAGAGGAGGGATGCAGGTGAGAAAGATGCCAGTCCACACTCAAAAATTGGGGTACACAGAAATGATGGGAGAGAGAGAGAGAGAGACACTTTATCTACATAAGCAACACCAAAATCAAACCATCTCTGAGGGGGTGCATCATTCAAAAAAAATAAAATAAAAATTAAGAGCAATCATATTCAGTGACCATTCTGCTACAAATACCACTAAGACATGTGGGGGGGGAGAGTCAGAGCTTCCAAAGAGGGGAAGGACAGGAGAACAGAGTCATACTTGAAACAAAAAAAATAATAATCAAAAGAAACCAGAAACACCGCCAGGCATCAATACCGAATGTCACAAACTACAACCAAAACACAAAATTACACACCATCCAAAAAACAAACAGGGGGGGGGGGGTTTAACAAAAAGGTTAGAGTGAGGGAGGGAGAAAGGGAGGCAACCTACAGTGACTCCCCAGTGTTAAACCAGCCCATTTTCATTGTACTCACAGCTTATTCCCAAACACTCTAAAACCAAACAGCGCCAGGCTCTTGCTACACGCCTCAGTTCAGACAAGGGACACAGAGCATAGAGGACGTCGCTTTTGACAAGATTCTACTCATTAGATCACAGTATTTACATCTATGTGTGTTGCACCAGAAATTCCCCCAAAAGGATGCAAATTGGCATCTAACTGCCCCCCTCATCTACTCAATAAATCTTAATGACAACAGAAGAGAAACATAATTGGTAATTCATTCCTAACCACTGTGATTACAATAAAATTACACAAACAGGAAGAATGGATCAAATGAATTTTGCCAGCCATGTCATTGCAGAGAGGAAGATGATCGCAGTCGAGCATTCCCAGGTAGTGTTAATGATGGTTGGGGGGGGGGGGGGGGGGGGGGGGAGAGGGGGGAGCACATTCAGGTACAGCTCATGTCCTGCCAGCTCCGTGCTGCTGCACACGTGTGTGCCTGTGTGTGCACGCATGTCTGTATGCTGTCTATCCATGCTTAACGCTGCTTAAAAGTGGATGCAGTCAGATTCAGCGTTGGAGAGCAACGCCCACCAGCCGCGTACAGAGAAAGGACACGAGACACTAAGAGCAAAACGGACACCACTAAATAGAGTGCAGTTTATACCAGTATGGCTTATCAATTATGTAGCGAAACTTAAAATAAAAAAAAAGAAAAAAAAAGAAACTCTCTCTGATAGTAATCAGAGCTCAATGCAAGTTGTACATTGAGAGTCAGCATACAAGTTTCACTATCCACATCTTCACCCACTAGAGTACATTACATCGCAAGACACTACACTGCAGCCAGCATCCATGGAAATGGTACTAGTCTAGGGTCCATTCCAAGACAGGGTACTAGACAACATGAATTAGAAAGGTGTGAAATGCACGAGACAACATGCTGACCACTCCGCCTCAGCAGGAAGGAGCAAACAGCGCTACTGCAGCACAGTAGTCTTAGCGTGACCTCAAAATGCATTATTATGGAAGAAGGGGAATTCATTACCATGTTTTTGTTTTTTTTTAATCATTTAGAGAATAAAATTTGATTCAGAGGTAAGAAAGAGGAGATTGTTACCACCTTGTTAAGAAGCAACATTTGTCTACGCAAAATTTGTTTGGTTTTAGGGTGGGAAGGGTCAGTCAGCGATGATGTCATACATACACAACTTACCGTTGCCGAGGAAACAGCGTGAGGACACGCGAGTGGTTACCGTGGAGACTGACAACAACACACATAGAAGTAATCAGGGAAACAGAAAAAAAATAACAAATAAATAAACCAACAAACAACCCAACAAACAAAAAAATTACCACCCTAAGCCTAACCCACCCCCAAAAGATATATAAAAAAACAAATTAAATTGTGCTTAAATGTTAAAGACAACAAAGAAATGTTTTCAAAATTGATTAGACAGCAAGCAGGGCTCTGTGGATTTCAGTCCCTGCAACCAAACAGCCATACAGAGTGAATAACAGACAACGGGAGGTCTAAGTATGCTCCCTGTCTGTCATCACTCACTCCCTTACACATAGCCATGGGCACAGATCACAGGCCTACAAATCAATACTGCGAAAAGGATAAGACCCTGCAGAGAGATAAATACTTCATCATCACGGCAAGCTCGGGCAGAACGCTGCTCTGACATGTGGCCAGAGAGGCAGACATACCCCGTTCGAAAATGAAATAGGTACTAATCTGGACTACTTATTTAAAAATGACAGCCCATCCTCATTCTACATACACAAAAATGAGGTTGACAAGGGATAACGAAGTCAGCGTGCTTCCATTGGTAAAGATCTGCTTCTTTTATAATAAGCAAGCATAATAAAATGCAAATCTGATGTGTCGGCCACCAGCATCCAGTTCGCAATAAACTTGCGGGAGAATTTAAGCACAGTTGTAAGCAAGTAGGTGGACATATTACAGAAACGCAGAATTAGACCAAAAGCGAGAGGTGGTCTGCAATGAATGTTACAGCTCACAGTATGTGAAACTGCTCGGGGCTTTAAGGAGCTGTACACATTGCATAGATACGTTGCTATTTCATCGTTTGAAACTGTGCTTTTTGGTCCTAAGATCACAGCCATGCCTTGATGGTAGGAGTCGACTGCTTGGCGAATGCAGGGTAAAGGAGGTTAGCTCCGAACCAGGACCAGAGCGGCTATTCAAAGTAGGTGTTACGCACTGGAACTGGTCATTAGTTCCAGTCCGACAGAGTCAATAGACAGAGAATTATAGATATATAGATATAGATATACTAGAACTGTAGCTCAGTTTTGCAAATCATAACCAAGCACAGTTTATTAGAGGGCAAGGGGGGAGGGGGTGAAGGAAAGAAAATAATGTTCGTTTCAATCACAATGGTGACACTATAAATAACAATGTGGAACATAACTGGAAAGGAGAGAGAGAGGCGAGGGGTGGGGGAAGAGAGACACAGAGGAGGGGGAGAGAAGAATAAGCCGACAGGAGAGCTCACATGCAGAAGGTCATTTTTAGATTCGGGGTGGGGGGGATAGATGTGGGTACAGACAAAAGGAAAGGAATGGGGATCATGTCTGGGGAACAGGACGAAACAGTAAGAAAATCACAGAAAAAAAACAGACTGGCATGGACAGTCAGAAAGAGAGAGAGCGAAAGAGAGAGAGCACGCAAGAGAGAAGAAAGAAATGAAGACTGTTAGTTGCCCATGAAATGTGTGTGAGGGAGGAGTAGAAAATAGCTCTCCCTTCACACACACGCACACACACACGCGCACACACACACACACACGCATCCGATCAGGAACATTCCCCCCCAATAAAGAAAAAAAAAAACAAAATCAATCATGCAAAAATAAATAATCAATCCAAACTGAAGACTTGCATCCAAGCAAAAGCCTCACTTGTTACAGTGCTGACCAAAGGAGCAATTTGGCGAATGAGACAACCACAGCCCTCTGAAGCAGCCGCGTGGACTGGTTTAATCGCCACTGCCGGCGTTTACCACCGCAAGGGGACGAATAGCACATTCACTGACTGCAGTTCACCAGGAAATGATCTCAAAAGGCAGATACTAAGCCGACTCCTCTGATAGCAGCAGATTGGCTCAGGCAGAATGACGTTTAAATAGAGATGAATGAAAGTTGGTGGCATTCATTCAGAATGAGGGCTTTGACTGTCCCGTCCATGTGACATTTTGCAGCGATTAGCCATGCAGAACAAGATGCACCATGCAAACACACCCTATGATAAAAATGATAAGAATTTTTTTTTTTTAAATCACAAGGCAATTATATTCATGATTCCACATGCAGTTCTCCAGAGAGACACATGCATCACCGCTGCCTGATCCAAGCTCTGCACTTTGGAGAAACTCTCTAGACAGACACACACACACACACACACACACATACACACACACATTCAGCACGACACCCCTTTCTTTAAAAATGAATTGGTTTCTTCAGAGCACAGAGTTTATCAGTCTAAAGAGACCAGCTTTGAAAGACCAGACCTTGTTAAGGGCTAACAAACGAAAATTGCTTTACTTAGTTGAATCCATGCATGATTAGAATGAATGTGATTAGAGGACACAATCAGAGTGAGCAACACACTGATCTCCCATTTACTGAAAAACCTTTTACAGATCACAATCCCCAAAGGACATTTTTCAATGTGTTCATCACAACAGCATCCAAAAGAGTTCATGCAATGTCTCAATTACCTCCACCACCATTATATTCAGCGTAATCGTCATCATCATCATCATCGTACAACAACAACAGCGGCATTGTCACTAATCATCAGAGCACTTTACATTCAACAGTCCAAAGACACATTATCAGATGACAACATGCAAATAAATATCTAAACTTAAAGGGAAAGAGAGAAATAAAGTAAGGACAGCCCAGAACACTGTCACCACTCCAGGTGCAAGGAATTAATTCATGCACATTCCGGTAATGAAAGATACTCCATGCATTTACACAACCCCACCACCAGGAGAGCAAAACATCTGAAGGCATTTTGCATATCGACCCATGCACATTAAGGAGGTATGCACCAGGGCACCGATCGAGGTCCTAATAAGTCACCCCTCCATTCCAAATAACTGGCAATTTTTTTAAAGAAACAATTTCTTCATTCTAAATAAGAAGTGCACATTGTACATACTGGTGAACATTCAGTGGGCAGAGGGAAATTTTCCATAAAAAAAAAGTTATGTAAAACAAAAAGGCTTAACTATATAAAGAAAGCTCAAAGGCATGGTTACACTTAAATTCTCTGTAACCTATGGTGCTTTTGCTTTGAAACAGCTGGACTTACAGGTACAATTCACAAAAATGTTAACATATTTAAAAAAAAAAAAAAAGGCCAAAACGACCATATGGCACTGAGGTGGGGGGGAAAAACCCAACAAGCCCCCTCCCACTGCAGCCAAAGCAGCGTGCTACACCTCTACCCTCACATTCCACGGCAGGAAGGAGTCACTCACCGAAGGCGACGATAACACACAAATATACCCACAGCAGCTCTGATAACTCATGCAGTGATAAAAAAAAAAAAAAAAAACATGCAGCTCTGACGAGACGTAGCACCTGCAAGCGGGAGCTGGCTCCCAAAATTAGGCGGCCAAAGTTGTTAAACCATGCAAAAAAAATAACAGAACAGAATTAAATGAAAACAAAAAAAGTAGAACCATCATAAATTGCCAGGAAGACCTAATCATACCCTGAACAGATCGAGTTTATTTCACCGTGTTGGGCGGTCAATGTCATTGATCGACCGTGGGTGTCGTTTAGGTCTTTGGGTGGGAGGGGGGGGGAGAAAAAATGAAAATGAAGGCAATTATATCAGCGAACAGGAGAGGTCCATCCATGCAAGTCTGCTGTCGTGTGCCATCATGGACGCAGAGGACGTATCCATGGAAAATGTACCCATGCAGAGCAGCGAGCGAGCAGAAGGGAGCCGCGATGAGCTAACGTGGCGAGGCATGCACCGCTGTAGCAGGGGGGGGGCGCCAGAGGCCCCTGCACTGCAGCATTGCATGTGACCGGTGATCTCAGAGATAAACTCAGTATGGTGCATCGTGAGTGTTGCGCTCATGACCATGAGCGCGGTCATCAAATTTTGAATCTATTTTTTAATCCGTACACTGTATGCAATCCACCATACTGAACTCACCTCTTCTTCCCATCATGCTTTGCATTCAAAGCCAATGCCAACCAAAAAAAAAAGTAGGAACAGTAATGCAAATTTTGACAGGAAAATGATTGATACAGCTCATGCAGTTGATCGATGGATCACACCCCATCCCAGTGTAGATCGTGTACATCACTGTTTCCCAACCCGGTCTTCAGGAACCTCCAGCCGGTCCACATTTTTGCTCCCTCCCAGCTCCCTGACAGACGCTCCACATTTTTGCTCCCTCCCAGTTCCCGGTACATGGGCTGCCTGGGGATCCCCGCACACCAGGTTGGGAAACACTACTGCACATCATATTAGCATGGCCAAACCCAAAACAAACACTGAAAACCCTGACCAGCAACCAGCAATAACAGAAGTTATTTTTTAAGTAAATAATTATCATCATTATAACATGATGAGGATTCAAAAAACAAAAACAGTGCAAGGAAGGTAAGCTAACAAAAACAAGCCATCGAATTACCTCGATCTTGCGTCCCTCGACAAGAGTACCGTGAAGCCTCTCCCTCGCCTTTTCCGCATCGCCGCTGCTCTCGAACGTCACGAAGCCAAAACCCTGGGGCACCGCAGGTGGGGGGTGGGGGTGAGGATGGGAGGCCAAAAGGGGGAGGAGAGTTGGCAGTTTAGGGGAGGAGCAGAAGGTGGGAGGAGGGCAGGGTAACAGGAAAATGATCGATACAGGACATGCAGTTGATTGATGAATAGCCCTAACCCCGCAGCATAAATCCTGTACATCAGTGTTTCCCAACCCAGCCCTTGGGTTCCCCTAGACCCCTATTTTTGCTCCCTCCCAGCATGGAGGTGAAGAGGCAATGAGACGAGGTAAGACGGAAAGATCAGGAAGAGTAGCGTACTGTCGAAGAGGGGCCACAAATTTTAAGTGCCAAATTAATATCTTAAGCAAAACAATTGCACAGCCGCCATCTTGGTTTTGTTTGGTAATTCACTCACACCGCGTTAGCGCATACACAGCACTCACACCGCGTTAGCGCATACACAGCACTCACACCGCGTTAGCGCATACACAGCACTCACACCGCGTTAGCGCATACACAGCACTCACACTTGTACTATTGTCCTGTACATATCACACATTTTTTGAGCATTTCGCATATAATGTTTACAAGTCTTTAGTTTGCACGCTCAGGGAGTCGATATCTCGTTGTGCTGACGTGTACTATGACAACCGCAAACAATTGAACTGTGTAGTAATCAAGGTACAAGTGGTTCAACAGAGTGATCCGACTAGCCAGGCTCATCACTCTTACTGCCCAATCTGTTAATCAGGATTAACAGGATTCATGTGCTAAACTGACGTTTACATCCTCAGATCAGTGTCAGGATCGCATCCAACCCCCCCCCCCCCAAAACACATACATACTCACCTTTGACCCCCTTTCATTGAAGATGATCTCGACATCAAGAATCTTCCCAAATTGCTGAAAAACAGACGTGAGGCATGACAACAAGGCAAAGGAAGTTTGAAAACAAACTAAGAGAACAGTCAATATAGACCATATCCAGGTACACAGAGAACCAATGAAATTACGTATGAGGTAAAACAAGGAGTTAATTTGCTTCTGGTAACATTTGGGCTTAAAATCGAAAGAGGACGTTTTGGCAGTGAGATTGATAACATATGAAGGTAAGCAAAGGAGTTCTAGCATAGTTTTGTACCTCATTACATATTTTTGGTAAACTCAAATGCTTTTCTTCACTGTGGAGTCCAGCTTGAAAGAAAAAAAAACATTTTTCCATTTCTGTGCAGTGACCTCACGTTGCTCTTTATCCACACTGGGTGGCAGTGTTGTTGCATAAAGTCAACACACCTCTATGTTTTTCTGCTTTTCTTTCTTTCATTTTCATTTAACAAAACCTCAAAACCGACTCTTTGTTGCTGCGTCCATTTCTGAGAGAGTATGGCATGGGTCGAACCCGGGGTCATACAGGCCCATCTACAAACATCTACATCCTAAGGGCCTGAACAATGCAGAATATTCCGGATGCTTACCCCAAACATTTGCCTGAGGTCCGGGTCTCTGAAGCGGAAGGGGATGTTGGAGACGTGCAGTCGTTTGGGGGTGCATTTGCCCTCCAAAGCATCGGCCCCCAACGCGCCACTGCTGCCACCCGAGCAGTGACCCACTCCCTCAGCAGGTGCTGCTCCATCTGCCTGCTACGGGAAGACGACGCGATGGTCAGCATGAAGCCGACGCAGAAGCCGTAAAGAGACCGTGAAAGACGACGAGACTCACTGGGGTGCTGAGCGTATTAGGGGCAGCTGCTGAGCCATTTGCCCCGGCCTCTGAGGGGGCCTGCCCCGTCGATCCAAACAGGCCGCTTCCGTATTCAGCCCCCAGGCCATTCTGAGATGGGGGTGGGAATGCGGAAAAGGGTGGAGGCAGCAATCCCTCCTGACCCCCCGCCAATTCTTGAGAACCCTGCAAATGGGTGAGGTGGGGTGGGGTGGGAGAGAGAAAAGGTGCAATTTAGCCGCAATGTAATTTAGGTCATAAATAAAATCGATCGTATTAACGTAAACGATGGAACAGATATGCATTGACAGCACTGGAGACCAAATCAGCCCACAAATTCATAGCCTGCTTCCCCACCCTGGCAACCCGCAGAGGGGAGAACCTACTCCGATTTCACTCTCCCTCTTCGGCGTCCCGGTGCCGGCAAGGGGGGGCACAACATGTCCCGCATGTAATATTCACCTTGGCCGTATCCATTATTAAGGGCCCGGAAATCCAACACGTGTGTCGCTCGCTCCACGGCCGGCACACGCTCGAAAGGAGTCTCGATGGGGGGAGGAGCTCCAGCCAATAGCGACGAGGGCGACTGACATCATCATCAACCACATCCAATCAAATAATAAAAGCACGCCATTGACAGCCATACATATGGCGCAGAGAGCAAAGACACATTCGTTACAGGGACGGGAGCACATCCCCCGCTCAATCGCCACCATCTGCTGTTAAATCATTTTGACTTTTAGCCGGTCACATGACCGAGAGTTGGAGTGAGGCTCCACAGGTTCGCAGGAGTGGCCGACGGCAACCGTTCAGTCGTGCAACAAGACTATAAGTGTTTCTGCCGTGATGTCAGCATGCGGAGCCCCGCCCCCTATACAGCAGACGTCGCCAAAGACCAGGGATTCGCCGCCCCGTTAAGGGGAACATCCCACATTGCAAACACACCAATCACGGGGTCATCTTGGAACCGTGGACTGGTAGGGCTATCTACTCAACAGATCAAAACCTCACAGCATAATAGAATTCAAGTATCAGTTACAAGGGAAAAAAAACTGTAAACATTTTATGCGCCCCAAAGCTGAGTGCGACCTTCTCACAGCCCAAACACAAATGCATCGTCTGTCTCTAATGGCCTCTTTTTATTGCTCTTTCCCAGCAAAGCTTCATTAAATTACATACAGACGGCAAAAAGCAGCAGTGATATTCTCCGCTTTTCGGGCTGCCATTTGCTGCATTAATAAAACCGCTCCTGCCGCACTCTCTTGGATTATACCCCCACCTTCGCATTCAGCATCGCGGCAGCCTGCCTGCACGGACCACAATGCACCTCTCCGGGGTGCAGAGTCATACTTGAGCACGCGCTCGGTGAGGAGCAGGGTGCACCTACAGTGCCCACTGACTCAGAGCCTCTGAACACTGCTAGAGGCACGGGGGCGGCGGGGGGGGCTAGTGAAAGAGCCTCATTACTGTAAAGTCCTCCCAGACCAGATGGCCTTTTAGTGGATCCTTTCATACACACAGTCACACACCAAAAGGGGAGGGGGGGAGGGAGATAGCAGCGGGTAACAGACGAGGCAGGGAAGACGCACTGATCACTCCTGCATTCCTGATGCAGCAGCCCTAGAGCAGCGCTGCCCTATAAGGCCGTCTCTGCAGGGACATGGGGGCAGGAAGCCAGCCAAGGTTCAGGGAAGAAGAATCAGCGTCCCCCTGCTGCCACATATGACGGCTGTGCCTTCCCAGTCTTCTCCTGGACGCATATACGCCGTCTCTTAACGCTGTGCCAAAGTCTAGAACTACACTTATAGCAAGAGTATATGGATAATAAAAACAGATTGAACAATCAAAAAGGTAATAATTGACAAATAATTCTAAAATGTTTCAAAGCATTAAAACAACCTAAATAAGACGCTTAAGATTAGTACTTTTTTTTTTTTAAAGCAGTAAGCATATGAAGTGCAGTTGCAACACAAATGAGGATAATATAAGGTCTACAGTGAGGGGGATCTACTTTTCACCATAGATTTTAGGATTTTTTCCAGGTCCAACTGGCCCTGTCTTTAACAATCAGGATGTTACATCCTCCCAGGAGTTAAGTCATTAAAAGGCTGCAGCGCCAGCCCTGCACCAACTCAAGCCATATGGCCAAATTCAAACGCAGAATAAAACCCACCACAGCATCAAAGCGGCGACGCTACATGTCACACACCCCTTTCGCATGAACTTAACAGCGGCACCGAAGCAAAGGCGCAACACGGCGGATCCACCGGCACGGCAAGCATCGCCACCAGCTTAACGACACGATTCCCACCGCTCCGGGATGGTCATTTACCTGAGACACCATGTGTCTTTCCATATAACAGGATGTGAAAGGAGATGGGCTTCGCAGTGCCGTTTTCCCTTTTGGCCGGATCGCTCGCTCACTCCCAGCACGCCCGCTGCACACGGTGCATGTGCGCTTACGCTGTAACCTTTGGCAGGCGCGGAGCGCGCGGTCCGTACACGATGCACCCTAATTCTGACTAAGTTGCCGGTAATGTCAGTCTGGCGGTCGGCTACAGCTCCGCTCGCCTTTCCCTTGTTCCTCCTCCATGAAATCCCTTCCTCCTCGGTGACTTTCTTCCCGAGGCTGCCAGCGCTCGGGCGCGCTCCTATCTTCCGCTTTAATTCCCGGAGTCTCTCTCGCCCAACGAAGTCCAGACGCGGATTTTTTACCTTCACTCCTCCCCCCGTGCCAATCAAAGTCGCCGCCACTGAGAAACGTGACCGTCGACTATCAATCAGCGACCATTACCGCCCCCCCCCGCCCTCTTCCTCTCTTCGCTTTGCCCCGCCCACTCCATTTTAGACCAATAATATTGCTCAATCGTCTTCTCTCGTCTATCCCCACAAGCAATGGAAAAACTGTAATTGGTCCAAATGGGTCCGAGCACGGCGAGCAATATAATCTATAGCTATTCTTAAAGGCAAGCCGATGCGTCTTAAGATAAAGAGAGTCCTTTCATAACCCCACCGCCTCTTAAGTTTCAGTTTCATGATTATTTAAAACCTTTTGCACTTCTGTATAAACATATTCTTAGACATTTCAATGTTTATACTTTATACTCGATTTAAAAGGGAAAAAAATACAGATTTTTAAATAAATAACAGCCCAACCACAAGTCAGAGCTCTTAGCAAAACATACAGCTACTTGCCAATGTCAGTGCAAAGTACTAGTCCCGGAGGCTTGTGCAAGTTGAAACTCATACCTAAGCAACCCTGCAAAGCCAACCACATCACATTACCTGAGATACACACATTAAAAATTTAGTGTCCTGCCCACAGCCCTAAATAAACTGACCATGAGAAATACTGTGCCTTAAGACTAATAAACAGAGGCAAACCTAAGATACGTCTCTTTTCTCTAAGCAGCCACTCGAACAGAATGCAGGGTTATGGGAAGGAGGAAGGAAAAGCAAAGCTGAACAGGTTATAATGTTTAGCTAGCACTAGTGCCCGCCATGCCGCATCCGACGTGGAACGAGCGGCGGCGGATCGGCGTAAAGGGGCCTCGGGAGAGGACAGGGACTTAGCGCTGCGGGTTAGAGCGGAGCACCTGGCGGTTACCGTTTAGCGTTCTGTGCGAGCCGTCTTACGGGGCAGGTAAGGGCCTCTCCTCACCCCGAGGCAAATGCTTGGGCGGAGCCCTGCGAATACCTGCAGCAGACGGCA